GGGCAGTGCGCATGCGCTCTCCCAGCGCACGTCGAGCAGGCATGCGGGGCGCCCGCGCCAAGTGGGGGCAGAGGAGCGCTTCTCCTCGCCCATGAGTGCCTCACTTCTGCAAGCAAATTAAAATCAGAGAACTGGAACCCGGAAGTACTGATACAGAGCAATTTGGGTAAGTTATAAATGGTATTTGCCCCACAGCAGCTTCTCTGCTCTTTGAATTCTCTGAAGCAGCTGCGAAGGCTGCTTTGGTAACCACAGGAGTGCTGCATTTTTCTCTCATTAACAAAGTGAAAAGAAGGATGTGGGAGCCTGGCCACATCGAGGGGCCAAGGGTCAAGGGAGTGCTCTGGGCGACAGAGAAATACATGCAAAGGTAGGCAAAGCGACGCTAGCTGGACTGAGGTATTTGTTAGGCGTTTCTAGCAACCCAAATAATTAAAGAATAATCACATTCCTGATACCTTTTCTAGGACCCCAAAACACAAGAACAAGATGAAAGCGTGATTTGTAGACAACTGGAGAAAAAAAAAGAAAAAGAAAAAAAAAGAAACGGTTGTCTTGTGCTCCTGGGATCTCAGCTACAGGCAGGTTGACAGGAAGATTCCAAGTTTAAGGGCAAACACCACAATTTACTAACTCGGAAGGACTTATCTCCAAAAAATAAAAGGCTGGGGATGTCACGTAGTGGGAAAGCACTCAGCTAGCATGCATAAGCCCTGGGTTCCATCCCTAGGGCGAAAGGAAAGGGGCAGACCGACACAGAGACAGAGATAGACAGACTACAGGCAGACAGGCAGACCCTGGAAACAAGGAACGAAGAACATCCGGGCGTCCCGGCTTGCAGAGCCGTAACTCCACACAGACCCAGGATGCTGCGTGTCCCCTGTGCTCACCCTGGGTGCCTGCTGGTCCAGTCATGGGGGCAGGGACACCCTCGCATTGGAAGGACACAGGGAGAAGGCTGTGGACAAAAGCCAGCATCCCAGGACTCAGGCATTTCTCAGTATTTGGAGGTGGCCCGGGCGCCCCCCTGGCTGGACTGCATTGTTAGACGAGGCACGTGGACGTGCACAGGGACTCGGGTGCAGTGGCAGGAGCACCCTGGAACCCCACCCGAGATGCCCACCAGGGATCCAGAGCTGCCCGCGGTGGCAACCGAGAGGCCTCCCCTCCCAGTCTGCGGCCGTGAAGTCTCATAGTCCTTAAATTGTCCCCGTGGTTGCTGAGAGAGCTCGCAAGGCCAACCTAACCATAAAAAGGAGCCCTAGTGGCTGTGGCCACTTAGGTTGATCAGGCAGGGTGCTCTGGATAGCAGGAAATGGAAAACCAGATGCGTGGCTTGGACTGAGAGGGCAGAGAGCTCCCGAAGGGGTCCGGGCGGCAGCACCAGCATGACGCAGCGGGGCGGGATCCCAGCAGGGCCGCCGCCCTTGGGCCTGGATGCCAGTGTGCCCTGCACAGGGGTCACCAGCACAGCAGATCTGGGCACTGCAGCTCGCGCGGTGGCTTTCAGAGCTGAAAGGGGAGGCACGGGGGAAAGGGCTGCCCTCTGCACATCTATCAGCATGAAGGGCGCTTGGCCCCACACCCAGGTGAGCTCCCCAAACCTCACTGCGCAGAACCACCTTCCAAGCGCCCCACAGCATGAATTACAGGGGAAGAACATTCGTTTCCCACACTGACCAGAAATCTTTATCCTCACATTAGTGACAGAGGCCCCGTGCAAACCCTGCAGTGAGCTGGCTCAGGCAGCTCCGTCCCTGCTGTCTAGGCTGAGGATTCCCAGTGGTCCTGTGCACACTGGTACCCACCCTGCAGGTGGCGATGCACGCGAGGGCTGCTGTGCCACAGGGGGCCCGGACACGACCACGAGGAGCGCTGGGATTCCCCCAACTATCAGGCCTTTTTTCTTACTTCTTTTTCTCTTCCCCTTTCCCTCCCTCCCTCCTCCTCCTCTGTTCCCTCCTTCTGGTTCGGGGGATGGAACCCAGGAACCTGGAGTGCTGAGCACAGGCTCCATCTTGAGCCACACCCCTCAGCTCCCAAGTCTGCTTCTAAAACAGGAAGGGCAAAGAAGGTAAGAAACTGGCATGGGGTTCACTACAGAGCTGGGGAGAAGGCAGTGACATTCCCCACAGGGAATATCAGGACAGCCCAGGGAGAGAAGAGAAAGTCAACAATGCAGAAGTAGCCAACACAGCAGCTGGGTGTGGCAGTGCATGCCTGTAGTTCCAGCTTTGAGGAGGCTGAGACAAGAGGACCTCCATGAGTTCAAGGCTAGCCTGAGCTACACAGAAAGAAAAACACAGCAGCTGGGCACCCTTATGACACAAGAGCTACCAAGTGGTCAGACAGAGTGACCAGTAAGGGAAGCCTCTGCTGAGGGCGTCACAGCGGCAGACAGAAGCGACTCCAGTCTGTCTCCATAGGTCTGGGTTGAGCCTATTGCTGTTTTCTTTTCCAGCGGGCCCTCTAGTGTCTTCCCATCCTGGAAAAAACTGTTCTAAACATTTTTCAAAGTGCTAAAATTTTATAAATGTGACAACCAGTGATGGCGAACCTTCTAGAGCTTTCAGTGATAGTAAGCTGCTGACTGCGGCCCGTGTGCCATAGGTATGCCACCACTGCGACAGGCTGACTGGTCACCCTAACAAAGCAGCACCTCCTAAGCTGCCCCGGCTTCACACGCCTGGGAAGGCCTGTCCCTGGGGGTGGAGACAGCCTTGATAGGGTCAGAAAGCATGGATGCGCAAGCCTTCCTCATGCCCCACAACCTCCAAGCGCAGCACTGAGCAGCACTGAGCAGCGTGACCAAGGGCAGAGACACTGCCCAGGAGCTCACTGAGGCCTGCGTGAACTTGCAGCCAGGCTCGGCATCTGTCTCGTCTCTCGGGATCCATGCAGTGGGCTCTGCTTCCACCTCTGTGACAAGACGCTCAAACCTCTGCACTCTATCACAGAGCAGAAACACTGTTTTTTTGTTGTACAACACTGGACACTTCTGAGCGGATCTCGAAAGCCCAGTGAATGGTACCTTGACTATGAGCAGAAGTGTTGTTCTAATTTCCTGCATTAACAAATATTAATTGATTATTACCCCAATCAAAGGTACTCTTGGAGCTGGGGAAGATAGCTCAGTAGAACAAGCACTTGCTGCCAAATGCAAGGGCCTGAGTTCAATCCCTGGTTCCGCAAAAAAAAAAAAAAAAAAGTACTGTGTAGTCCCTTCTGATCACACAAGAGCAGTTCACAAACCTGACCACTTGGCAGAATTACAAGGAGCATTTAAAAATATCCCCTGCCTTGTCACATGAAAACCTGCACCTGAATGCTCACTGCTTACTCAGCATGGCCAACAAAGGCACCCACCCGAGTGGGCACAGCATGGAAATGGGCAGGGCATCTTCTGCTACCCGTGCACTGCAAAGTGGGCAGACCCTGAAAGTGCCACGCTGTGGACTGGCTGGACCCCAGGTCCCTGCAGGGCGTTAAGTGCAGTCTTGGAGTCCAGGAAGGAGAGGCAGCAGCCAGATGCCAAGCAGAGGCTCTGGGGTGGGTGCTGCAGAGCTGTGAGGGGCCTGGAGCCGAAGTGAGCGAGAATGTGAGCCCCATGGACACCCCACACCGCACGCTCCCAAGAGGGAGCTGCAAGGTCACAGGGCGGTGCACAGCCGTGCGGAAGCGGTGAGCTGGGGCGGGCTCTGGTGTTAGGCGCTACGTGAGCATCAGAAGACCCCAATATCCAGAGCTGAGAGCCACCGGAGGGCACGGGTCAACTCACATTCCGCGGACTTCGCATTTCTTTTAACGTAAAAAAAATCCAAAATTTTTTTTCTTTTAAAATGATAAAACGGGCTGGGCTCTAGCTCAGTGGTACAGTGTCTGCCTGGTAAGTGCAAGGCCCCAAGTTCAATTTCTGGTCACACACACACAAAGGGTCTTCCGTATTCGTGCATCACAGTAGTTATTATACACTTAAGAATATCTTAGAAACGGGAGAGTATGGCCACAGGAGAGGAAGTAACAGGACAAAGGCAGAGGTGGGTCACGTAGCTTCTTTTTTTTTTTTTTTTTGTGGTACCGGCAACTAAACTCAGGATCTTGCACTTGCTGGGCAGGTGCTTATGCTACTGAGCTACCTCCCTAGCCCTTGAAGTGGCTTCAAGTGCAGCTGGCTTGTTCTCTGGTGCCCCAGGGCTCAGGTGCCCCCAGAAACTCTGAGTGTGAAGGAAACCCTACACACAGGGCAGGTGCTAGGTGCTGAGTACCCAACGTGGTCCACATGGAGGTTGGAGTTCTGGAGGTGACAGGTCCGTCAGGAGCTCCAGGAGCCGCTGGCTGCTGCTAGGACCTCTGGCCACCAGCAACTGGTACACACAGCTCCTTGGCCTCTGTCAGCCCAGTCTCTGGAGGCTGTCTGGGGTACCAGGACAGGCAACCCCAAGGCCCTGTGGGAGTGGGGCCTGGGGATGGCCCAGCACCTCTCACTGTGTGTCACGCCCAGCCTTGGAGCTGCAGCCTCCACGGGCGACTGTGCAGCCTTGCTAAGTCCTGCGCAGGATGTGACCATCCGCCAGCCTAGGCACAGCACTGCCGCGGCAGACATAGCTCTTGGACCCTGCCTGCTGGAGGCCAGTGGAGGCTGGGGCCCAAGGAGAGAGGTGGCCGAGTGTTCACCAGGTCTCGGGGTACCTGCCTTTCTGCGCCAGCTCTGCCGTGCCTGTGGTGCTCCAAGTCCATCTCCCTCGGGCCAAGACAGGGAAGCAGGTGACTCAGCACCTGCACAGGACACTGTGCAGGCTTGCACGCTGAGGTCTCCGTGCAGCTCCTGCACGGAATGATGGAAAAGGAGCTGGGGGCATGCACCATGTGGGGGTGGAACCTAACCACGCGGGAAGGTGCGAGACTCTTCACACCTGCAGACAGACAGGGAAACAGCTGCTGGCAAGCTGGCAGCCTGGTGCAGTGGAGGCTGCGCCGCCACCTCAGCAGGACACTAGAGCAAGCGTGCATTAAATATTTATTACTGTAAAGAATGCCAAAATCATTCCATTCGACAGAATCTAAGCTGTTTAAAACTATGAGTGTTTTAACTCTACATTTCATAGGACCTTCCTCCTGGGCACTGGGCTCTGGCTTCTAAAACTTTCATAATTGTGTTTTCATCAGACATCCTTATGCACACGATGAATACACGGGTGGCTTTCAGCATTCACCTTGTGCACGTGGGACAGAAATTCAATTCCGCATCACTGTCAAGGGTGTGTGCACCACGCTTAGGACTCTATGGAAAAGGCTTCTATGTGTGAGACCCGCTGTCCACAGGGCTTCCTGTCACTGTGGGAGCCTGGATCTATGACAGGCGGCAGGGAAGGAACCTGAGTATTGTTTCTTCACAAAAGGAAGAAAGCGCTTCCCAAAGGATCCAGCAGGCCCATACAACACTCTCGCGCGCAGGCGTTTCTTCCCAGTGCAGTCCGCGTGTCAGTCGGGCGGAGACGTCTGTGGCTCTTCCACCCCCCACTCATCCATCCACTCTCGCAGGTCTTCTGCGCTCTGTGTCGTCCACAACTTCATGAAAGACTTTAGCCTTTTCCTGGAGAGAAAATAAAACATCGCTTGTTTTAGAAATGACACAGCCGGGGACAATGAGCTCCCACGGGTGCTTCGCAAGCATCACCAAACACCAGGGTCCTGGGCTGGGCTTCAGGTCTCTGGCCTTCCCGAGCCTCTGCAGCACTGGGGCTGTGCCTCCCCAAAACCAGAACAAGGAAACGCCCTGCAGGTTCCCCGTCAGAACGGCAGCCCGGCAAGGAGTAAGGGTCCACAGCGGGGGAGCGGAGCCCCAACCACTGCCAAGCTCCCATTCATCCAGGCGGCCAGCCCCTTCCCACCCTCACCATCCCCCATGACATGAGGACAAGGGCACCTAACCTGCAGGTGCCTAAGGTAGGGTGACTCAATGCACTCCAGGCAAGAATGATGCCCATGCCCCATGCAGGATCCTGCCCTGGTGCCCACGCTTGCTTCTGCACAGTGATCAACCAACATGAGGCAACTCTGACAGCCACATGATGGGATGGGTTAGGTGGGCACCTGCTGTCTTCCCAGCACTCGGAGGCTGAGGCAGGAGGATCACCATGAGTTCAGGGGCAGCCTGGGCTACACAGTGAGACCCTGTTTTCAAAAACCTTGGCTTTGATTCCTTAATCTGGCCAACGGAAATAATGAGCCAAGCACTTTAGTAGAAAGATAAAGGCTCCAACTGGCAAATTACCAGCTTCTGTTCCGAGCAACTTCTTGCAATGACTCTCTTGTCTAGGTAAGTGCCTAGACTCCGAGAGGCCACATGATTGCTGTGAGAGGGAGGACAGAAGGCTGCATGTGTCCTTGCTTTTGCTTTGCAGGCTGCAGAGGCTCAGCAAATGCAAGCTATCCTGCTTGACCACCAGCCCGTGTGCATGCTCCCAAGTCCAGCGCTGCCTGCTCTCTCCAGGAAGAAGGTCTCAACTGGTCTCTGGATGGACTTGGCAGAGGTTGGGCACAAGTCCATTCTGAGCTTGCATGCATGATTCTCTCTCTGGAATGGCTCTGGGGGTCCCGGGGGTGGAACCAGGGCCTGCACCCCAGGAAGATGCTAGCCTGGGGCCACAGCCCCACTGTCTGGAAACTGCTCCGCTTTGTTGCCGCCTGTGGTGTCCCAGAGACCACCTCAAGTGGCTGGGTGGGCCACAGCCTTTGGACGTGTGGAGTAAGGCGAAGCAATGCTCCCGTCCTGCTCCGCTGACCTTACTGACAGGGATACCCATGTGCCAGCCACTTGAAGCACAATGTGGCCACAGCAAGCAGCCGCCCCTGCGCAGGGCAGGCAGGCGGGGCAAGAAGACAGTGCTCCCGCTGCTCCATGACTTTCTACTGGGACCAAACGCTGGCCGTGCTGCACACTGACAGGGTCGCCTAGATCTCAGGTACGTCCTGGGAGCCCCGCATCCTGGCTAAACCTCGAGGGCTGGAGACGGAGGCATCTCAGAAACGCTCCTGGCAACACAGGCCAGGTTACAAGGAAAACTGTCACCAATAACTCACAAGAGACGGGCCATGGGACCCATGGTTACACGAGGACCCACTTCCCCCTCTTCCTGCCAGAGATCCTGACTTGTCGCTGCCCATGGGCAGGCGAGGCAGGAGCGCAGGACGCCCTTGCCCAGGTGCCTCAATCTAGGCTTCCCAGGGCTCTATCCACCCAGTGTCTGCGGCAGCTACCGAGCCGGCGCTGAGCTCACGTCATTCTGTGGAGGAACCCCTGAAAGCCAATCATGTGACTTCACATAGCATGGAGTGACCAACAGAGATCAGCGGGACCGCAGATGCAGACTGAATCCCCAGCTCCCCCAGAGCTGCTTCCACTCGACTGTGGTGAAGTCTTTCCAAATACTGGAGGAAGCAGGGTAGGGTGGCACAGGCTGCGATCCCAGTGCTTGGGTGACTAGCCCAAACTACACAGTGAGACTCTTCTCAAAAGTAAAACAAAAATCAGTACCTAAAGAAATTAGAAGAGTCCTCTTCCTTGACAGCCTGGAGGAAGGTTTCATTGTGCACGCACGTACACACACACACACACACACACGCACGCGCACACACACTGCACACACACACCCTGACCTTTTCATGTTTACTAATCCTTCCAGCTCTTTGGACTTGAGAGCTGCTTTCTTCAGGATTTCTCCGGGAACATCTGCTAGCCTAGCCACATTTAGGCCGTAACTCCTCGCTGCAATTCCTCTGGTTATTTGATAGAGAAAAGTAACAAAATCAGGAACTTCCTCTTTGCCTAGGAAAGAGAAAAAGGAGATCAAAGCCACATCCCAAAGTTGAAATGCAACAAGTAAAGAAGTGTAAGTGTCTAAAATTTTACTATATTAAAATTTAGCCTCAGAGAAAGCAGCCTATCGTTCCCGCCCGCTGCCAGCTCCCTTCTCAAGTTTGCGTACCAAGACAACGGGCAAATACTGATGTGACAATGAATTTGCATGCAGGGTCTCTAGCTCATTTAAGATAGTTTTTAACAATAATTCATCACACAATTTGAACTGAACTTCTGTGTCCCACATGGAATGGTTCTGATGCATGGTACCATTTTTCTTGGAATGGAATTTATTTTTCTTGTTAAAACAGATAAGGAAATTTCACGTGTTGTCCACAGTTTACATTAAAAAAAAGAAAAAAGAAATTCTGGCTCATAAAGTATTCTGGTTAACTAAGAGCTCACACGCTGAAGGGCTCGCTGTTTAGTCCCCCATCCCAGCCTGTAAGAAGGCTGGACACTGCAGAGGTTTAGACCTAGAATGTTCCACCTCAGTCAAAGCAGGGGCTTTGGAAGGTCCCCAGCTCACGGACTGTCACTGATGTGGTCACAGTGGATCGTGAGGAGCCCGGAGGGAAGCAGTGGTTACGGGCTGCCTCGCAGGGCCACCTCACTTGCTCGCCTCCCCCTGCCCTGGCCACCATGCTGCAGTGGCTTTGCTCCCAGGCGTTCTGCCATGGGGTCCTCCCCGAAGCCAGCCCACCACGGGCTGAGGCCTCTGATTCCTGAGCCTAATCACTGTGTCCAGCGACAGGCATGACAGGCCACGTGGCCTCTCCGAGTCTTGCTGTAGTTGAGGACAGGCCCCTTTCCTAAGGGACCTGCAGGGATTGCTGCCATGGGGTGGACAGGCAGCCCCTCCAACACCCACCCACCACCGGGCTGGCACTCACAGTCCTCCTGTCCTCGGAGCAGGAGACAGGCCTAGACCTCCCTTCCGGTAAACAGAACGTGACCTGGTAAAGGGCCGTCACCTGGGGAAGACCACAGCTGTCTGAGGAAAGCCAGCCACAAGCCACGAGCCACTCTTGGAAGAGGCCCTGGGGCACCAAGCTCCTGCTCAAGGGCCAGTGCAGGCTGTGGGCTGAGAGGAGGTATTACATGGGTGGGCCCAGCATGGACCCCGAAGCACCCCTGCAGCCTGCCAGTGCCACCACTGCTTCCCCATAGTGCCCTTGGGAGACAGCAGAGGGCCCAGATGAGTTGGCCCCAACTCTGGGCCCACGGAAGTCCTAAGTGACAGAGGCTGTTTCAGCTGCTGTATTTGGGGGGGTCAATGCATGTGACAATCACTGCACACAACAAAGATGACTCCTGAGGACACAAAGGCCTCACACCACACCCCAGGCTGAGGGAACTTGGTGGAGCCAAAAAGCGCCCTTGACCCGCGTCCATGTCTATGGCGTCCTTGTCTATGGCGTCCGTGTCTGTGGCGTCCGTGTCTGTGGCGTCCGTGTCTGTGGCGTCC